TGACCCACTCACGATTTTAAAGCTAGCCCAATTTTTTTGCAAACGAGGTAAAAATATTGCTCACAGGACTGCAGTCCTCCTGGAAACATTCAGGATTAACTGGGAATATTGGGAGGCAGTGTTTGCAGGCTCTTAGGACTGTTCCCCCCCCCCCGTATTTCTGTGTTTCCTGGGGCTTGCTATTCTGTCCGTTTCAAATGTTTTTGTTGTTTTTAAAAGTTTTTTCTTTGCTGGAGTTGCTGTGTGGGGCTTGCAGTTTACATTGAGATCCTCAAATTTTACATAGGTCAAGATTTTTGTGTTTTACATAGTTTCAGATTCTCAAGTTTCATGTAGGTTCTGATTCTTTGGTTTTACATTGGTTGGAGTTTGTAATAGCTTGCAATTATCTTACTATGGATGGAGATTCTCAGGTTTTACATTTTTCACATTTCCCCCCTCCACAGGCAACAATGGAGGAGGGCAAGATTCAGATGATCTAGGTAGATGGGAAGATATAATAACCAGCCATTCTGAGGAAGTGCCAGATCTGTTACTTGATTTAAAGTTGGGGGACATTGCCTTGGGTTTCCATTCTCTGTATGACTGATGGAACACGTATTATAAATATGTCACTTCCTCTGTGGCCACTCAACTTTTCTCAGGTTTGATTTGCAATCCTCTAGCACAGGGGTGGCCAAACTTGCTTAACGTAAGAGCCACATAGAATAAATGTTAGATGTTTGAGAGTCACAAGATGTGAACAAATATTACACACATGTTTTTATTGTAAAATGTGCAAATTTGCTTTTTATTAACATTAAATGAAACTGCCAAAAATAAAAGCAGATATTGATAATGATAATGATATTTATTTGTCCAATTATATTTGCTTGTTAATGATATTTATTTGTCTAAGAGAGAAATAGAGAGAGGGGGGAAGAATGAAAGGTGGAGAAAGAGAGAGAGAGAGAGAGAGAGAAGAGAGAGAAACAAAGAAAGCAAATAGATGTGGGGGGGAAGATGGAAAGAAAGCAACTTTAAATGCATCCTCCAAGCCCACCCCCAAGCCAGCTGGCTTGGCTTGGAGAAGGGATTGAAAGAGACAAATGCCTTCTACAAGCTGGCCGGGGGAGGGGGGGCTTTGAGAATGCATTTAAAGTCTTTCTCTCACTCAAAGTATCTAAGACTGCCACCAGGAATTTAATTCCAGTCTTTAACCTTTCCCAAAGTATTGTGCCCAAGCTCTAAGGCTCCTTCATTGGATTATGTGGTTCTGAGGATGAGACTCCTATATTTTAAACAGCTTATAACTCTGGGTTAACAATAAATGATAAAACTTTATTGGTAAAAGAAGTGTATTAGTTACAAGATATTTTGTTAAGTTGCTCAGTAAAATCTTTCCCTTTTTACTTCAGGTTTTTGTCAGCTTTCTCCCTCACACTCTTGTAATACTCTGACAATATTAGATTTTGCCTAAAATGCCCCTTAAGTATATTTCTTCCTCCTTTAGAATCTTAATGCTTTTCACAGCACTTCTATATGATTCTATTTGGAAGACTGCTTCTCTGACTCTATGTAGACTGGCCACAACTGACAAAACAACTGCACTTACCTGTAACCTTTGTCAGGGCCGGCTCGCCCACTAGGCGAACTAGGCATTCGCCTAGAGTGCTGGGCCCTGGATGGGGCGCCGAGCTGTGCCTCCCCCCCCGCCAAAAGCCCGCAAGCAGCTCTCCAAGTGTCAGCACTTCGCTAATTGGGGAGAGGCATCCGGTGAGCATCCCTCGCCTGGAGACAGGATCCCCCCCACCTCCCTCCCAAACTGTCTTCGGAAGCGGAGCACGAGAGAAATCTCTCTTCCATCTTGGAGGGCGCTGCAGGAACATGTGGGGCGTGCTCGCTGGGTCGGACAGCTGCAGGGGGGGAGGCGGTGGCAGTGGTATGACCCCATTGCCCTGCTGTGACAGTCAGCATCGTGATGTGCAGCATTCACCTGCAGCTTTCCCAACCACCTACCCTCGTCAGCTATCGCTCTAGCTAGGGTCTGCTTCTCTTGGGGCAAGGTGTCTAGATAAGGAGCTATCTTGTCCCAGAGCAGACAGTTGTATAGCCCCATGACAGCTGCAAAATTTACTACTTGAAGGCCCATCGCCCCAGAAGAATACATCTTCCGCCCCAAAGAGTCTAGCTTACGACCCTCTTTATCATTTTGGGGGGTATGCGAGCCATATCTAGTATGGGCAGGAATTACTTCTGAAATGAATGAGTTAGGCTTCGGGTGCTGAAACAGATAGGCAGAGTCCAGGTCTATGATCTTATAAAGTCCATCCAATCTTCTGACAGATGGTGTCATGGATGCAGGGTGTGTCCAGGCTGCAAACATCACCTCCTGAAGGCGTGTAGGAAGGGCAAGGCAACCAGACCCATGTCAGGTGTAAAAAGGGTCCTTAGTTTTGGGTTCAGAGGAGGAGTGCTTTAGCTCTAATGCCTTAGCCATTCTGATGATCTGGTTAGCAAACAAAGACATGTCTTCCAAAGGCGACACCGAAGTCTTGTCGCCAATGACATCATCCAGGGACGGGACAGAAGCCAGCTCAGAGCCACAGTTGGAGACCGCATGCCCTTCAGATCGAGATCGCAGGTGGTCATAGCTGGAGTCCCACAGTGGATCCCTGTGCGCAGAACGAGGTGACCTCGAATGATCATGACAACGTGGCCTGGAGTCGAACTGCTGACTATATGCACACGGGTACCAAGGCGGTGGCATGTCAAAGTTGTCCAGAGATGGACCGAGGCTCAACTGATGAATGAGGAGCACATCAGATGAGAGAGGTCATTTGCGTCGATGGGTGCTTTGGGATCGCGGCGAGTGCTTGGAACCGATGATTGTACTGAGGGTCATGGGTACTGAGGTGAGCCCGAGCTTCTGTGATGCTGTTGTGGTGATATGCCAGATGGTCGCCAGTAGTGGGGGAGCGTTGACGCTGAGGCGATGGAGACTGTTAGCACTGACTTGACGCTGAGTCCTTTAGCTGGTCCGCAGTTCAAGGCTGACTCAACAGCGGCGAAGACCACTCTTGAGCCTTCTTCTTTTTCTTAGCTTTCTTAGCCAGCAGCTCGGATTCTGCTCGAGGCACTGAAGGGGCTGAGGCAGCATGTGCTTGAGCGGGCGTTGGGGCGGAACACACAGACGGAGGCCACGAGGGTCTCTCTGAAGGTGCCACCGTCTCCAAAATAGTCTCTGGTGCCGCAAGAGCCCTCTCCCATAATGCTGCCTTCAATCGGGCCGCTGTGCCTTCCCTCACTCAAGGTGTCAGGGCCTTGCAGGCCTTACAGGTGGAGGAGTTATGGGTCTCCCCAAGACAAAGCACGCAGTAGGCGTGTTCGTCTGACTGAGTCATCTTGGCTCCACAGGTTCTACATTTTTTAAAGAGTGCTACCTTTTGTTTTCCTGAGGCCATCTTTCTCCTCAGGAATCGTGCTTAGCTCACACAACAGTCCTCTTTCAGTGGCGGCAGAAAGGGAACTGAGGGAAGAGAGCAGACTCCTCCCAGATCAGGTGACTTTTGGGTGGGAAATCTCTCCCTGGAGAGGAGCCTGACTCTCTTGGGAAGAAAATTCTAGTAAAAGCTCACTAGTTCCTCCCGGTGGCTGGCCTGCAATACTGCAGTCCCATGTGTGCCTGCACAGAAGCCTTGAAGATGAACTGCTGACTTCTGACTTCAGACCGAACACACTGCCTTCTCTCTCTCTCTCTCCACACACACACTTCCTAGCTCCTAGCTCCACACACTCTCAATCACCAACTAATCACCTTACTCACTCATCTCCCTCTTTAACCCCCATGTTCTTCTGACACTTTCCAACCATTTAAAGAAACACACACATATAACTTGAAAGCATTACAGGGAGAACCATACACATAGCTCTAAGTTCTTTGGGAAAAGGAGAGATTAAAACTGTGCCAGATAGCTAGACAGACAGAATACCAGACAAATTCTGACAAGGCACTGTATATTTGGATGCAAAACCATGGCAATGGACTAGGAAGTGGTCTTTCAGGCACTGGAATGTTGCCACTGCTCGATGCAGATTAAGCACATCAATATGAATAAATGGTCCTTGTAGAGTTTCAAATGGTGTTTTTCTTTTCTTGTGTGATTGATACCCCTAACATGGGTAACGTTCTGTCTTGGAATTATTCAAGTAGAAACTCCTTCCTCAATTGGTGTGTGGTGCTGATCAAGCCCTGTGGTCTCTTCAGCCCTCATTCTCTCTAACATGGCATCAACTTATTTATTTAGGGTATTTCTATGTCCACAGCCTGGCCCCAGGGCTTCTTAAACAGTTCAGCCTTACAAACTCACCAGAAAGTCAACAATGGCAGGTCTTTTCCTTAGTTTCTTGTGGAGACAGTTCCAAAGGATCAGATCAGAAGCAACTGAGAAGGCCAAAGTATGGGTAATAGCTGACATTGTTATCACCCTGCAAAATAGGTCCGTAGTGTTGTACCTATAGTACAGATAAGTGAGATAAGAGATTATGGCTTGCCTGGCATGTAGAGACTTGAGCCAATGATTCCCCAGTTTATAGCTCACACTTCAAACCATGACACTATATCAACTATTTTCCTCATTGGTTTCATGGCAGTGGTGAAAAGTAATGTTTAATCTGGTACAAGAACACTGGTTGAAAGGAGTATGCTTGTTAATTAAAAAGGGGTGTTGACCAAAAAAGTATTATCTGAATCTTTTAAAGAGTTCTTGTAGCCTATTCATGAAACAGTTTAGGAACAGTAACTGTGATGTACGAGTTTGTACCCTTACCAACATGCCATTATAGCTCTTGCGCTAAATGCTTCAACTGAACTTCTGAAATAAGTTCTGTTTCTTGGGTATGCAATTTCATGCATCGTTGCATGTAATTGTGCAGTTAAAACACGATACCTGGATATCTTGCCTTGCAAACTACATATAAGTGTATATATATATATATATTATTTTATTTTTAAATTTCAGATGAAATATCTAGGTATTTCCAGCAAGCTTGATGAGGTCAATAAAACTATTGAAAATTTTCAGAACCAAATTTCTAAACTGAATGAATTGAGCAAGGGACAGCAAAACCAGGTGGAAAGCACAGAGAAATCTGTAGAAGAGCTGAGGTAAGAGCCTTCATTCCTATAGAAAGTGAAATCTACTCTTACATATTACAACTACAGAATTATCTGGCAAAAGCATTCAATATTATCAATGAATGGGTAGTATTTTCCATTTTTGTGCCTATGTAGAAAAAAATCATGATGAATGATTTGTCCTGTAGCCTGTAGGCATTCATATTGTTTATGGCAACCTAGTCAACTGCATATTTAATTGTTGGAGGAGTCTTCATTTATTTTTTTGGATTAAGAAAAGCTTCGAGTTTCTAGAACTGATGTTCTGAAATAAAACATAAAGTGAAAATATAATCCAGGCTATGGGCATTCTGAATGACTACAGATTCCAAAAGACTCGAATTTTTTATAAATAAGATGAGTCAGTGACATAAGGCCGGGGGGGCTTCTGTGCTGATGAATGATTATAATCTACAGAGCAGTGGAAAGAGCCATTTTACCCATGATGCAGATTCCTGTATAACTGGGAGCATTGACTCTTGAAACTTTATATTCTGAAACTCTTGTTGGTCTCTAAATTGCTGCTGGACTCAAATCTAATAGTGTAATATGCTGGTCCATGGCAAACAAACAGATAACTTTGTACTGTATGTAGTGGGCTGCACTTCATACACCTGAGAAAGTAGCCTCTTGCCTGCAAAATTAAAGCCACTGTGATTTTACTAGTCTACAAAGTACTATAGGAGAGTTTCTTGTTTTGCTAATCCTCTTTGGAAATGAAAGAACAAAGTTCGAGTCCAGTGACACCTTTAAGTGGGCATTTAAAGACAAGGTACTGCACAAATGTACTCCAAGCAGCCACTACAATTAGTTTATCAACAGTGTGTTTAACATATGGCAAGAAAATATGTATTTTTAACAGTTGCACAACTTTTTGCATTCCTCCTTCCCTCCCTTCTAATGCAGATGGTTCCAGGTTTAATCCTGGCATCTCCAGTTAAAATATGTTATGTAGCAGTACTGGGAACAGCCAATACTTGAGACCTTGGAGAGCTACTTGCAGTCAGAGGAGACAGTACTGGGCTAAATGGATCAATGATCAGACTCAGTTCAAGGCAGCATCATATGTTTCATTTGTTTCTGTGACTTCTCTGTTTCTTCTGTGTAAGATTTATTGAGCCACTTGCCTTTTAGCAGCAGCCCCTGCCATACCCCAAATTGCTTTTTAAACTCCTATGAGTTTAAAAATCAGTCTGTGGTGCAGCAGGGGGAGCTGCTGAAGAAGAAATGGCCCGATAAACCCTATATGTGTGCATTGTCCCTTGTGCACATGTAAAACATCTCACTAGATCACAGTCACTGTGTTTCTGCAAGATCAGTCTGCCTAGCAGTTCCATATAATGTTTTGTACCAGTAACAATATTTTTTTCTCTTAAAGGAAAAAGTTCGCTAGAATAAAATCAAAGGAGCAGAATGCTCAGACATTAGTTGATTTTCTCCATGATCGGCTGAAATATATTGAAAAAAAAGTAAAGACAGATGGCAGAATATTTGAAGACTTGCTGTGGACTAGACAGAAAAATCTCAAACAAAAGAAGGTGTGTGCCATTTGAACTACATTCTTTTTTTTCTTTTGTTTTTCATTTGTCTTGAGAAACAGAGGACATATTTGTTAAATCTCACTGTCCTGTTGGAAACATTTCAAGCAAAAGAGGCAAAGCCCAACCCCAGCGTTTAGGCTACTCCCTTTCTACCAAAGTGTTGTAGCCCCTGGCCCTACCATGCAGGGCAGACATTGCAAATCTGACCATTTCTGTAGAGGGAACTATAGTTCAAATTTTATTCTCAAGAAACAAACAAGAGTATTTGAAAAACTTTATTATTTGTGAAGCTATTCTGGCGGTCTGTTATGTTTATGTTTGGATATTTTACATTTTATTATCTTGGTATTTCACTTAGAAATATGGAGCTTCTTATCAAATTAAGCTTATCTAATTAAGAGGGGGGGGTTTTGGTTATGGCTCTGACTCTACTGTGTCGAAATTCAAGTTGCAACTTGCACCATGTAATCATATACTAGTAGCAGTCTATGCTGCCTGTCTGTGGCTTTCAGTTGAAAGGCTTTACAGTCATATAAGTCATGTCCAATGAAAAGGTGAAAAATATGTAGATCAGTGGATGAGCACATGCTTTCCATGGGTAAGATCTCACATGAAATATCCCTAGCATTGTCCCATCAGCTGTACATGGTGTACATGGCACAATTAAGCCATACAAAATAATGAGCATAATAGTATCTTTAAAAATGGCTTAGATAATGCTACTCACTGATCACGTTGATTAATAGCAGGAATGGGGACATGCATCACATGTTTCTTCATGGGTTTAGGGGCTAATTCAGAAACAGAACTTGTAAGACAAATTTATTTTAAATTTAAAAATCTTTAACTCAACATTTCCACTATCAAGAACAATGCAACAAATCTGATATAGCTAATACATAAATATAGCAGTGAACAGGAAACTGCAACAGATAGTATCTCTGAGTTCAGTTAAACAATGAGGGCTGCAGTCACACACACTAAATAATCCACTTTCAGCCCACTTTCAAATTGGATTTTGCCAGTTCACACAGTTAAAATCCCATTCAGAAGTGCACTGAAAGTGGATTGAAAGTGAATTTTTTAGTGTATGTGACCATAGCCTAGTTCTTGCTGGCAACACTTTGTGGTGAGTTAAGTCCTACTTTTCAAGTCCACTAGGGTGCAGGGTTCTTTTCATTCACCTCTCTTTTCATAAGGATTTAGTTCCAACAAACTGGACAGTGCAGTAACCAGACTACAGCTTGAAGGGTACCACTCTGCAATAACAATATAATTACTACAATAATACATGTTAAACAAAATTTAATCCCCTCTTTACTAATCAGTTTTCACATACAAAGTTTTCCAATTACCTTACACAAGGTATAAGAGTCCAAAAAATGTTATTAAGCTTGCCAGGAACCAGCTGCTTCTGCTGCTACTAAGCCTTTATACACTGACTCTGCCCTTACTGAGCAAAACCATCTAGTTCCTGGAGTTTACACATACACAGTGGTTTCCAGATATGCTATAATGGGGGGCATAGCTTAGTAGCAGAGCACCTGCTTTGTGTATAGAAAGTCACAGATTCAGTCCCAACCCCCTCCACCCAAAAAATATACCCCCCCCCAAAAAAACCCCAGGACTGGTTAAGATGTTCGATCAAAGACCCCAGGGAGGTGATGACAGTTAGAATAAATAGTACTGGGCTAGAAGGACCAGTGTTCTGAAGTCTAAAGCAATGTCATATAGATATTTCTAGTACCTGTGTGCCTATTTAGGAGTTGGTCTGCCCTTGACCACAGTATCACATAGCAATTTCATGAATGTGAGGTGAGCTCCATAAAATTTGAGAGACTGCCTTCTCCCATATGAACTGCCCAGTTCCGTAAGATCAAGGGAAGTCCTTGTCTGGGTGCCTGGTGCTGAATTTGTAAAAATGATGATGAAAAGTAGTGAGGCCTTTGTGAAGCTAGTAAATCTGCTATGGAATTCCATCACTGCAGGTTCCCAGGTGACTTTCAGAAGCTGGTAAAGAACTTGATTTGTAGATTGGTCATCTTTTGGCAGATCCTTGATCTTTAATATATGGTCATTTGTATTGCTTTAAATTGTAATGTATTGATTGGCATTGTTTTGTTTTTATTATTATGAGCTGCTCAGAGGGTCTGGATCATGATCATCTTATACCCTAGGCGTAGCAGTGCTTCAGAGCAGGGTCTGCTAGACCCAGGTTCTTTCTGTGGAATGTGAGTGGGTGATTTCGGACCAGTCACAGACTTTTAGCCTAACCTACCTCAGAGGGTTATTGTGCAGATCAAAAGGTGGAGAGGAGAATGATGTAAGCTGCTTTGGTCTCCACTGCGGAGAAAGACTGTACTTTTCCTCCTGGGGAGCCATTGCTGTCAATCTCCAGGTGAGGGCTGGAGATCACTCAGAATTAAAACTGGTCTCCAGATGGCAGATATCAGTTCCCCTGGTGCAAATGGCTGCTTTGCAGGGTGGACTCTGAGTCATTATACCCTGCTGAGGTTGCTTCCCCTTCTGCTTGGGTTCCCACTGAGGAGGAGAAAGACTGTACTTTTCCTAGGTACAGGCTCCAGGTGTGGGGGTGAGATGGAAAGCTGAAGTCAGAGGGGTAGATAATGGTATGTTGATGGTTTGCTGGGAAGGAGATAGGTTTGCTACCTCCAAGACAGGTACAATGCCATAGACTCTACCCTCCAAACCAGCCAATTCCTCCTGGGGAACCATTGTTCCCAATCTCTAGGAGAGGGCTGGCGATCACTCAGAATTACAACTGCTCTTCAGATGGCAGAGATCAATTCCACTGGAGAAAACAGTAAGCTCTGTGTCATTATACCCTGCTGAGGTTGTCACAGCAAATTGACGTTGAGCGCACAAGGCCAGGGCACCCACCCAGAGCCTCTTTCTAGAGCTCATTGTATTTATTTCCATAACGGGCCTTATTCCTAGTAATGGAATAAATGAGTAAAATGAAATGAGATTCACATGACACTGTACTTCAAGAAGAATCAAGACGTGAGCAAGGCTCTTAATGACAGGATATTTTGGATGACATTAATTCATAGGATCACCATAAGTCAGAAGTGACTTGATGGCACTTAACATGTACACAGGCATTTTCAGTCACTAAAGCCTGAAAGCAGATATGTGATAATTTGCATCAACCTATATTTAAGACCACAACCATCTCGGGATTTAACAAGAGCAATCTGGGAGGAGGTGGAACAGTTCATATTGGACTGTGTCCAAAAATTTCCACACGCGATGCTTATTATAGGGGGAGATCTAAATGCTAGATTGGGTCCTAATAATACAGTACTTTTTGATAAATTTGATTGTCCTGATTTGAAATTAATCAACTTTCATTTAAGCGTGCCTCATTAGATCCGGGGATAAATATCTCTGGGTTATGTTTGATTCACCTGGCCTCCAAATTAAATTTGTATATTTTAAATGGCTCAGTTAAGGGTGTTTATCCGGGGCAACTTACATTTTGTTCAGGACATAAAAGATCTACAATTGATTATATTTTAATTTGTGGAGATTTAATCTCAAGGATGTCCCAATTAAAGGTGGGTTCAAGACCTGAAAGTGACCATTTTCCGTTAAATTTTAGTTGGGTCATTGAAGCCCAACTGGCAAATTGGAATACTAGAAGTACCCAAAATGAGGAGACTGCTGATATTAAGATCAAAAATAAATGGAATAACGTACTTAATGCAAAATGTATTGCATGAACGCATTCGGCGGAGGGCATGGCACTCTTTTCTAGTGATATTCTGTTGGCTCTCTATGGTGACCTAATTAAATTATTTGATCCGATTTTAACGAGACCCAACACGTCCCAAAATAATAAAAATAAAATTTTTCATAAAAGGTGGTTTGACCAAGAATGTTTTCAGGCCAAGCAGAACCTTATAGTGAGTTGTAGGGCATCCTTGGCAAATCCAAATAAATTAGATGACTTCCAGCTCAGAAAAAAAGCCTACAAGGCTTTATTAAAGTAAAAAAAAACGGGCCCATGTATTATCCAGGTGGCAAACCTTAATAGAGATTACCAAGAAGAAAGATAATGTGGGATTTTGGAAGTTTGTTTCTGGAGTGCATAGGAATAAAAATATTAGGATGGTACTGAGAGTTGGGAGAAACACTTTGCGGTGTTATATAGTGACCCACAGCTGACCTCTCCCATGATAGTCCCTGTAGAGACCCTCCCTATTTGGCCCCTGGTTACATCAGAAGAGATAAACCTAATGATTAAGCAGTTAAAGAATGGGAAGGCTCCTGGAAGTGATTTTATTCCCCCAGATCTTCTCAAGAGCAATGCTGACTGTTGGTCACCGTTATTGGCCAGACTTTTAACCTATATTGACCACACTGCTCAGATTCCAACAGATTGGGGTCTTGCAATTATTAATCCTATATATAAGAAGGGTATTAGGTCTGACCCTAGCAATTATCATTCAATTAGTCTTTTAAATACCATCGGTAAATTGTACTCTAGGCATCTGCGAATTAAATTACATAACTGGCTTGAACATTAAAGGCATCAACAGACAGGGGGTGGGACTGAACAGGTAACCTCAAGTACCTTTGGATAAACCATATAAAACCGAATCCTATGACTGCTTTCTACCAAGATTTTCCTCTAACAGGGAGAGATTGCCTTCATAGGCGGCCTTTGATTCTGTATCTCGGGGAAGACTTTGGGCAAAATTGAACTGTTCAACCATAGATAAAAGACTCCTGCATCTGATGATTAAAGTTCATGAGAATACGCAACTACAAATCAGATGTAATGGTGAAAGCATGCTATCAAAATCTATTCCCTCTTGGAAGGGAGTAAAACAGGGTTGTTTACTTGCCCCCTCCTTGTTTAATATATATGTTAATTCCCTTATTCAGTCTCTACATGGGGTAGATGTTCACGCCCCTAACTTCTCAGGAGGAGAGGCAGTTCCAATATTGATGTACGCGGATGATGCTCT